CCAGGTGTCAGCACCTGACTCACGCTGAAAACCAGGGGCAAGAAGACAGAATTAGAGCATCATTTCACATGCTCTTCTGACACAGAGTCTCACTGTGCAGCCCTAGCTGCCCCAAAACTCCCTGAAATCTGTCTGCCTCAGCCTCATGAGTGCTGGGGTTACAGGTGTGCACCCATAAACCCATGACACCTGGCTTAAAGTCTCATTTTTTAAATTAAATAAACAAAAGTTCATTTTAACCTTAGAAATTCCGTATTTTATAAAGTTATAATTGTATTTTAGAAAAAAACTCATATATACTTTACTAGGGCTTCTTGAGAAACGTTATGCATAATTCCTTTCTGCTGAAGACATTTTTTATGATTTATTTAACTTTTTATTTTGTGTTCATTGGTGTGAAGGTGTCAGATCTCATGGAATTGCATTTCCAGACAGTTGTGAGCTGCCATGTGGGTGCTGGGAATTGAACCCGGGTCCTCTGGAGGAGCAGTCAGTGCTCTTAACCATTGAGCCATCTCTCCAGCCCCTGCTGAAGACATTTTTGTGTGAGCCTGGACCCTGGGTGCACAGGTAGATAACATAGCTACACAGTTCCAGCATTTCTGCAGACAATGACTCATAAAGACATTTAGTTTAAAACAATTCTTTGGTACATACACAATTTTGTGACTTATTAACAATGAAAGCAAATTCGCGCGATAGTACGATGGACGTGATCATTTATTTTTTCATAAAGAAGTGTGTCTTGGCTGAATATTTAATGCGTCGGGGAACAGAGCATTGCTAACATGTTTCAAAGTTGATCAATATTTTGATTCCATGATCATAAGTACTGAGATTACTACTTCGTATACACATGTAGTACAAAATGGAAGAAGGATGTTTACAGGCGTTTCTAGAAATGGTTGGAAACTCGATTCCGATCCAAGCCGAAATTTAGCTAACAAACACTTTTGAAACGCAAGTCGGAAACTCAAACAGCAATTTTTAGAATCAAGCATTCTAACACAATCCAATCCAAAGACAAATTAATTTGATACTTTCATGCTGAAAGACGATGGTAGGAGAATACTAAAAAGCCTTCGTTGTCCATAATTAAACCATTCTGTTTAGCAGAGCAGATGAGCCCTATGTGGACCGTGGGAACGCTGCAGTTTGCAGCGCACAATAGTCTGGACTGAGCCCCGGCGGCGTTCCAAGCAGTGTGCATTGTCATTGTGTAGTTTAACAGCCTGCGCAGTGCAAAAGGTGCTCATTGTGTACTCAGAACCAAAGCCGAAATGAAAGCCATGTCATGCAACCTGGGGTTCTGCCGGAAACACCTCAGCTGTATTACACATTTGGTTTTGAATTAATTTCGACTCATTCAGAAACTCTTCATCGTTGCCAGGCCTTGTAAACCATTGACGTTCAGTCATGTGATCCCATAGTACGAAGCTGGGCACCGAGCAATGGAAAACTTTGCTCCGCATAGATAGGCAGCTAAGTGCCCAGGATAGGTGTGGTAGGTGGAAGGCACTTTCATTATAGGGTACCATAGGTTTGACTAAGCAAACTTAGTACCTGATAGATTGGTTTTTCAGGGCTGGTTTTCTGTTCTATCTCAGCAAGTCATAACGTAGCAAAGTTCTCAAAACTTACTGCTCCAGGGTGACTACACCCCTGCAGGTTCAGAGCAGTTAACTGGGTTCTGTTATCAGAGACACATAAATACCAAAGCAGCTGTCACCCGAAAACCACCCTGGGTGACTGGGACTCAATGGTGGACGGCCTGCAGGTTGGCTTGAGCCAGCTGGATGTGCTTGAGCTAAGAAAGAGTCAGGTGAGGTGCTTGAAATAACATTTCAAATGGTCTTGTGATACCAGCATGTCTCCCTCCTTTTGAGTACGGGGTCATGGATTTCATGTCATCGGCCACATAGCCATCAGGAGCTTGGCTCCATACCTGGCTGTGAGTTTGTGGGTGATGCTAGGGAAGATGACTGCATGGAGCTTATGTCAAGAACATCTCTTTTACCCGATGTCCGTAATGACTGGCTGACGATGGGCTGAGGGGAAACCCGGATCAAGAGCATGTCTGTAAAAAGAGAGAAATCTCCCCTCCTCTGATTCTCTTTCAAGAAAAGTGAATAGCTGAGCACCACGAAGCCAAGTGGGGCCTTTAAAAATAAAAATGTCTTTTATGCAGAGAAGGACAAGTTGAGAGGAAAGGCGGAACCTCTGAGGCTACCTCTGAGGCTTTCATCTGAGCAGCAGTTGCTTATCACTGTTGACATCATTATCAGAGGCCGCTTCTGTTCCCAGAGTCTCACAGATGGCATTATCTGCATTCCACGAAGGCAAGAGGGCTGACAAGACCCACACTGTTAGGACCAGTGTCAGTGGTCCATGAACCTGGATGCAGCTTAGCATCACCTGGGGAGTCTTTAGGACGACGAATGCTGCCAACGCTCCATCCCGGGGCTATTGGATCTGCCTCTGTAGGGCAGAGGCTGCCATGTTGGGTGGGTTTAATGGCTCCCCAGGTGACGGCGATATACTGTCAAGGTTGAGGGCTACCGGGGTGATGGTAGTCAGGAGAGGGGCCAGCGACTGAGGCCAAGAGGTCAAAACTGAGTTCGAAAGAGAGTGAGAAGTGGTATTTAGTTTTCTACATCCTGGAGATCTTCTGATCAAAGGCAACCCGAGATCCTGGGCTTTCCGTCATCAAACTGTACATGTCCTTGAACAATCTGGTGGCCGAGTCTCCAGTGAGAAAGGGAGTGCACTTGCCTCTCTGTCATAGAGACATTCTTTCTTTGCACATCTGCCCACCAGCTACAGGTCCAGCTGCTTGGGCCGAAAAGCCAGCTCTGGCCCTGCAAGAACGCCTTTTGGCTGCTCACCCCCACCTGTCTCTGTCCGTGAAGTCACCTAGTTTGCAGAAGTTGGCAGAAGATCCGAGACATGTTCCCTAATCACGTGAGGCAAAACAAAGCTTCCATTTTGATCCACATCTGTCTGCCCGCCGTGCAAAGCCACTGGTCCTTCCAAAGAGCCTCACTGGGGTCCCATTCGCAGTCCGTTGTCGATAGGAAGATCATTTCAGACAAGCCATTGCAGAGAGTGTCCAAAACCTTGCCCACGGGAAGTAGAAACAGGAGCGGAAGCAGCGTATCAGATGACGAGGAAAATGTGTGACAGGCATCAGGTAAGTCATGAGAAAGCCAAAATGCCAGCATTTTAAAAATAGTAATAGCCACCCACCCGGTGATGAGAGAAAAAGAAAGATTGAGCTACAAAATGAAAAGCTTGTCTTAGTTCCTTTCACATAATCCAAGGACTACAGCGGGAGGTGGAGGCTCTCTGATCCCAGAAAAAGACTTGTAATCTGATCACCTGTAGACCGAATGGCCCCTGCCCAGTCCCCGTGGTTGGTTCTCAGACTGGAAAATGTGGACGCTCCACACTGCGCAACCACATGCCATGATTGTCAGCAGGGCAGCTCCCCTGCTGTTCTCATCAAGTTAAGAACTATTTAGGCAATTATTCCACATTTCCAAAGAGCTGCTACAAAAATGATCTCATTTGTATTTTTCATAAGCTCTGTGACATTTCTTCCTTCCTTCCGTCTTTTCTTTCTACCTTTCTTCTGTCACATAATAGTATGTATTCACAGCACCGTGTGAGGCCTCAGTATGTGTGTTGTGTAGGGATCCAATCAGGGTAAGGAGATGCATTCGAAGTCTTCCCTTTGATATGTTGAAATATGCAATGCAGTTTTGTTAACCAGAGTCACCCTACTGTGCAACAGAGCATATTTCTCCTGCCTAATTGGAGCTCCGTGCCTGTTGACCAATCTCCCTGCAGCCCAGCCTCTGGTAACCACTACTCAATTCCCTGTTTCTGTGAGATTGCTGCTTCACTCTCTGCATTTACAGACGTGGGAGCTAAGATGTTTAGAGATCTCATATAGACTAAAGGCAAAACTTCATTAGTCCCAAACCTTCATAACGCTAAAAGTGCTGTTCTGAGCAACCTGACATTCCCCCTCAGTTAACGCCTATATATTCACAACCCTCACAGCAGCAACATCATCAGCTTTTGCCTTGGTGATTTATTATATTTCAGCCCTTTGTCACTCCTCGCAATGCTATATTATACATAAACTCAGATTAAATTTGCCAAGTCCTGTTTTTGAGACTACTAGAGTAAGAGACTTGACGGACTAGAATCAGTAACAGATAAAGGGATAATGAAGACTTTGAGTAAAATATAACAAAAATCCAGAAGCTAGAACTAAAATAAAGTTTTGAAGCAACTGAAATGAAAGTCATGCTTTTGGGGGTAACAAAATAAAACATGGGTTAATGACAAGCAAGAAGGAACATATGTAAAACTTAGTAAAAACAAATGTTTTCATCTCTTTTTTTTATTTGATCTATTGAAAACAACATGACTTTGCCTATAGAATAAAAAAATTTAAAGCTAGAGAGATATGCACCACCAGCTTCTCTCTTTCTGAAAGTCTCCTTACTGCCGATATATGCCTTAACATTCTGCTGGAGTCTGGAGATGTGAAAGCCACTAGAGAAGATACCTGTCCGTTTACAGAATCTATCAGAAGTCTTTATAATCAATCACTTTGTCAGAATGACCTGAGTTGTGTTTCAGTAACAATCCAAACTCTATAGATTTAAAAAACAGATGCATTCTTGATCACAGTACACAGTTCTTCGTAGGTCAGTTGTACGTTCAGTCTGGGTCTCAGTTGCCATATGGAATGTTGACAGGAGACGATCGTAGCAGAGGAAGTGTTCTGGAGACCATCACACTTAGCAATTAAATTCCCTGACCTGAACCTCAAATCTGCCACCTTCACACTTTAATTACTTTGGCCAAGGCATGTTGCACAGCCCCACCAAGCTTCCGCAGGGCCAGCATGTGCACTCTGATGAAGAGCCACAACTATTGCTGTCGGAAGAACAGTGGTTACTATCACTATTGTGTTGTTCAGAAAGCTCCATGAAGGAGAGTTACTCTGTGTGAGGATGAGGCAGAGGAAGCAGGGAAGTTCTCAAGGGTCAGTCATTTTTCATTAACCATAAGCAGGGATTTTCCCAGCTAAAGGAACATTGGGGCTTAACGAGTCCAGAATACAGAAGAGGTGTGGGAAGAGGAAGGTAAGACTGGAGGCAGGGGTGGGGTGGGATGGGGTGGGGGGTGGAGAGATTGTTGAAATACGGATCGGCGGGCTGTGTCCCGCCACCCGGCTAGCTTTACCCGAAATAATTACACGGAAACTGTATTCTTTTAAACACTGCCTGACCCATTAGTTTCAGTTTCTTATTGGCTAGCTTTTACATATTGATCTAACCCATTTCTAATAATCTGTGTAGCCCACGAGCTGGCTTACCAGGAAAGATCTTAACCTGCGTCTGTCTGGAGTGGGAGAACCATGGTGACTCTCTGACTCAGCTTCTTTCTCCCAGCATTCCGTTCTGTTTACTCCGCCTACCTAAGGGCTGGCCTATCAAATGGGTCTAGGCAGTTTCTTTATTAATAAGAAATCACTCCCACATCAAGAGATGATGAGTGACCAGGATATTACAGACTTTGCTTACTATCCTGAGGCGGCTAACTTGGGCTTGTAGGCAATACACAGTCACTAAGAAAATTAAAGCATGAGACAGGACAGATGACAGATGAGAAGATGAATAAAGGGAAGGCTGAAGCAGGAGGCCAGGAGGAGACTTGCAACAAGACACAGCAGTAAAAGGAGAGGACAAAGAAAGAGACACTTTTCCCGAAACCCTCCTACAAAAAAAGCAACTGGAGAGACAGCAGAACACCCCGGAATTTCTACAAAGCTCTGGAAGGTTGTTCCAGGTCAGCAAGATACGAAGGGCAGAAGGAGCAGTTGCAGAAGGAGACGAAGCAGGAGATGGTCCTGTTTAACACGATGGTTCACTGATGGAGCACAAACAAAACCCGCTCATCTGTCAAATAACCTTTGTGGTCAGGAGCGGCCTGGCGCCGAAGCACGGAAGTGGAAACCTGCAGGTGGGGGCAGCAGCTGGAAGCACAGATGAAGACGGAGTTTCTCAGGGAGGGATGAATGAGATACAAAGAGACATGTCCGGGAACAGAGTGAGAGAGAAGGATGAGAGACTGGCAGAAGGGTGACTGCGGTGCAAGGGACTGGCTGAGGGAAGCCTCGGGAGCACAGACCTTCATGGAGAATGGTTCATAGGCCTAAACACCCCAGGGATGGCTGTCGATGGATTTGTCTTTGGGCCGCCAGCTCACAAAAAGCAACATGGAGACTTATTATTAACTATAAAAGCTCAGCCTATAGCTTAGGCTTACCGCACTAGCTCTTATAACTTAAACGAACCCATTTCTATTGATCTAATGTTGCCACGTGGCTCACGGCTTTCACTTCTCCTCCTGTATGTCTTGCTTCCTCTGCGTCCAGCAGGCAACACTGCCTTTCTTTTTTCCTGAGTGCCCCCTGTACCCAGAAGTCCCGCCTAACCCTTCCTGCCTAGCTATAGGCCATTTAACTCTTTATTAAACCACCCACCCTGGCACATCTTCACAGAGTATAAAGGAATATTCTGCAATAGTTAGCAAGGGAGAAAAGGTGAATATGGTTCGCCAAGGCTCACAACCAGGAAGGCACAAGAGGTTTTTTTCAAAGAAGTCATTGATGGAGTGGCTAAGGCAGGTCGTTGCAGGAGTTGAAATGGGAACTGGAAGAATGGACACTGGCATAAGGACTAAGTATAAAGGGAAGCATTGAGAATAGCTGTAGCACGAATTCTAATTGTTCTTAATGATAAAAACCCAGAGTCAGATATAGGGGTTAATGCTGAAAGAGCAGAGAAGCAAAGCTGTCTGTCAGCCACTAGAGTTCTTACCTCTATCAGTGCTCACGCCAAAGGGGAATTTCCATCTCTTCGAATCCTCAGACTGCTGCTGTCTCTATGAAACCTCACACTGCATGTACAGATGGAATCCTCAGACTGCATGCACAGACCAAATCCTCAGTCTGCATGCACAGACTGAACCCTCGGACTGCATGCGCAGACCGAACCCTCAGACTGCATGCACAGACTGAATCCTCTGACTGCATGCACAGACCAAATCCTCAGTCTGCATGCACAGACTGAACCCTCAGACTGCATGCACAGACTGAACCCTCTGACTGCATGCACAGACCGGATCCTCAGTCTGCATGCACAGACCAAATCCTCAGTCTGCATGCACAGACCAAATCCTCAGTCTGCATGCACAGACCGAACCCTTGGACTGCATGCGCAGACCGAACCCTCGGACTGCATGCACAGACTGAACCCTCTGACTGCATGCACAGACCAAATCCTCAGTCTGCATGCACAGACCGAACCCTCGGACTGCATGCACAGACCGGATCCTCAGACTGAAGCCTCAGACTTCTCCGTCTCTACAGATCCTCAGACTACATCTGAGTTCCTGTCTCCTCCCACCTTGTAGTCCTCTCTCTGCCCAGCCATATCACTCCTGTCTCCACCTCCCTAGTGCTGGGCTTAAAGGCATGTGATCCCAAGTGTTGGGATCGCCACTGGGTAAGCTCTGTTTCTCTTTTAGACAGAGTCAATCTCGTGGAGCACAAGGTGGCCTTGAACGCACAGAGATCCATCTGCCTCTGTCTCCCAAGTGCTGGGATTAATGGTGTGTGCTACATTGCCTGGCCTGTATGGCTAACTAGTGGCTTAGCTCTGCCCTCTGATCTTCAGACAAACTTTATTTGTAATCTAACTACAAACAAAATATTACTACAATTAGGAAATGGTAGATTCCCTTAGGTCAGGCTAGGGTGTGCCTGTGTGACTGTATGTGTGTGAGCAGACAGAAGGACAGAACCAAAGGCTGAAGATGGTAGATGAGGTAGGCTAGAGAAGACAGAATGTGTCTAAGAGCACAGAGAAAAGGCTTCATCCTACAAAGGAAAACAGCATTCCTTTCACAAATAACAAAGGGAGGCTTTAGCTAGACACAGAGAAACGACGGTGCCTTAGTTACTTTTCTATTGCCCTGACAAAGCACCATGACCAAGGCAACTTATAAAAGAAAAAAGCATTAAATTGAAATTTATGGTTCTAGAAGCTTCTAGTCCATGACCATCATGGCAGGGAGCATGGCAACAGGTAGGCAGATATGGTGTTGGAGCAGCAGCTGAGAGCTTACATCTGAACTACAAGCACGAGGCAGAGAGAGATAACTGGGAAGGGCACGGACTTTGAGACCTCAAAGCCCACCCCTTATGACACACCTCCTCTAACAAGGCCACACCCCTAATCCTTCCTAAAACGTCCACAAACATGGGAACAGTCATTCAAAAATATGAGCCTATGGGGTCATTCTCCTTCAAGCCACAACACATGGGCGTATGACGTAAGGATTGAAAACTTGAAAGAACTTCTACTATCTCCACTTCCTCTGAGGAACAAGAGTTTTGCTGGCTAGACTCTTATGAGCCCTTCGTAACCCAGGTACATAAGACAAAACGGGCAGTGAGAGGTGCCTAAGAATATGGGATACCAGGTGTGTTGGTACAGGTCTATCATCCCAGGATTTGGGAGACTGAGCAGGATGAATTTGAGTTTAAGACTAGCCTGGTTACTCAGTAGGTTCAAGGTCAGCCTGCACTACATAGAGACCACATCTCAAGTAAATAACTAAATAAACAATAAATCAATAAAATTGTGTTGGAACACCTGACAGGGAAAGGCGTGGGGAAGACCACAAAGGCCTTCACAGGCTTGTCTGTGCAGAGATTAGAAGGCTGGAGTGTCTCCATCTTGGCAGGAGACAGAGTTCAAGAGGCAGAGACCCTATGAAATGATGGCATGAGAGCGCATTTCCCACGGAGTGCTTCCCTGTGCCTGTGTTTGCACTGCAAGTCATAACTGATGACTATCCCACTCTGTTTCCTAACAGCAGGCTCCAGGGACAAGGGGATGGCAGCCTCTCTTTGCATGTCAGCTCTATCTGGATTTTTTTCCCTGCCCCCTCTTTTCTGGGACTTAGATGCCTTCACTCTGCCAGCAGAAGGGTGAGCCCAAAGACCAGTAGCTAGTCCTCGTTTGCAATCGATCTGGGCAAGTGTGTGCAGCAGCTGTCTGCTTCTTTCTGTTGCTGACTTACAGGTTATTATATGGATATGCACACCTTGCTCAGCCATCTGCCCATCGATGCTATGTAATAGATTTCAGTATGGGTGAATATGAATAAAGTCATATAAACATCTGCATACAGGTTCAGATGAAGGGTGTTTTCGCTTTCTCTGAGGTGAGTTCCTAAGAATAGGAATGGTGTGCATTGGTAATCTAAATCAAGCTAGGTTCTGGAACAGCCGGGTACAGTCATGTGCAGACAAGCAAAATAACCTTGGCTCCAAATGTTACTGTATATAAAAACTTCAAAATAGATACCAAGGATTAGGGGAGATGGTTCAGTCAGTAAAGTACTTTCCATGCAAGAACGAGAACCTGGCTCTGATCGCTAGATTCCATGCTAACAGATAATGACTAAATAAACTACATGTGGTTTAGTTCAAAATCCCAGGGCTGGGGAAGAGGAGACAATCAGATCCTGGGGCCGCCTAGCAAACCCACTGATGTATAACAGTTCCCTCCCACATTGAAACATTCCATCCTTCAGGGAAGCTCCTTAAACAGGAAAGCAAACAACTCAAGCCAGCTTCAGGCTTGAAACTGAGCAGATTCACTAGGCTCCTCCCTGCCAGAGTAAGCAATAAAAGCTGCAAAGAAGACTCTGAGACCAGACCAACTTCCAGGGAGAAGCACAAACCAGTCAGGATGCCTGAAAGAAGTTTATACCAGAGTCCCAGGGAAAGGATTCTCTGACCCGTTCATCTGCCTGCAGGCTGGGCAGGTTGCTCCAAGTTTCCAGCTTTTGTGAGCTGTCACCCATGCTGGGTGGGCTTTAATAATGCAGCTGTCTTTGAGTCGTTTCTATTCCTCTAAGTAATCTCTCACCCATATCCTTCTAAGTAACCCCAATAAAACTCTCTGGTCCAGCTTACTGGTTGGAATAAAAATACAAAAAAAAAAAGTTAAGAAAATGCAGGGTCTCCCTCTCTGAAGGGGAAACTCACCATTTTTACTAGGCTGGCTGACTGGCCAGTGAGCTCTTGGGGCCTCCCCGACTCTGTCTTTCAATGCTCGGTATGCCCTACTTTTTACATGGGAGCTGGGGACTTGAACTCAGGTCCTCATGCTTGCAGAGCAGGTATTCTTACTCACTGAGGTATCTCCCCAGTCCCTTGTGCCTCAGTTTTTAATAATATAATAATATGCCCATCTCAGCTGTAAAGAGAATTCAGTCAGGAGAGCAGAGTACTAAACAATCATTATAAACACAGCCCCTCTGCACCCATCACAAGTGACAGGATAAAACGCACATTTCCCTCTATGCGGTTTGTTTCTTTCTATCTAGCATCGCATTTTGATGATAATTCCACATCTGTTCCTATAGAATTGCTCTGATCTCTGTGAAATCCCATTGCAGAGGATTGTGTGTGCTATTGTTAGACATGCGAGCTCTTTCCAAACCAAAGATTCAGCAATGACTATGTTTACAATACTTCGCTGGTCTCACATGCCTAAATAGGCCTAAGAGAGGCTCTTGTAAATAAGGAAACTTATTGAACTAAAGGGTGTGGACATTTCGGGGCTTTATAGACACTGCCCAACGCCAAGGAGGTTTTTCTACTTTTACTCCCAAGAGAAGTGCACAAGGGGCTCCCTTTCCCTTCACTCCCACTAACAGGGGTCAGTGCTAAATGTTTCGGACTTGGCAGACTGCAGTTTTATCACAGGACAATTAAAGGCAACTAAGCTACGGGATGTCCTTACTCCTGAAGGGCACTGAAGAAATAACTCCTCCTCTTAAAGGGGAAGTGACGCCCTTGTCCAGGGAGACAACCACAGTGAACATCTTTGAAAATAAGCCATTGGATTTGCTTGCTCACTTGCTAGTTCTCTCTGTACTCTCATCAGGGTCCAGGCTCTGCGGGAGACATCTGGGTCTTTCTCTGTCTTCTTTTATGGCTTTATCTCCAGCTCCCAAAACAGTGGCTGACACATAGTAGGACCTCAATAAATACGTTAAGCCTCAGCTCGATGCCAGGGAAACGGAAATGCGTTGGACTGCTCTTCCCTTTGTTGTCCAGAGTTGCTGAAGGCGGGCATGCGGATGCAGAGGTAGCTGACATCTGTAAGGTTTTTCATCTCCTGAGCGGGCAAGGATAACTTGCCCTGAATATATAATCTAGAAATAGAGTGGGCATGTTTACTAAACCCGGAAAATATTTCTTGTAGTACCAGAAATAATTTTCCCACAGCTTTGTGCTACATCAAAATATTGAAGCTGACCGAAATTTTCCAATTCTCTACTATTGTTGTAACCTAGAAACCAATTTTTATATTATAGCACACAGAGGTGGGATAAAAACCTCCTGATGTTGAAATTCTCCCAGGTGCATTCAAATTTAAAATATTATTATAAAATTTGGATCATTTTAAAAAGTGATTATTGATAACTATCATTGAAACTTGGGTCATAAAAAAATGTGCAGTTTTGAGTTATTAATCCAGCACTTGAGAATAATCAAGGACCGAAGACTCTCCCGGACTTCCCAAGTGCCATATTTTACTGGTGAATTCTATGAAATGACCCCATCTTTAAATCTTTGGGTAAATTGGTAAGTGAGAAAAAAAATGTATTCATCAAAATGACTTTTAGTGATTTTTTGAAAGCATGGGAAAGAATAGGGATTTAAATTTTCAGTTATACCTGCAGAGAAGTGATCATAAAATTCTTCTCATCCTCGTTCTATTCTCAGTCTTCCCAGATTTGCTCCAAGCCATCCCCGTGAGCATCCACGTCAATATCATTCTATTCTCCATGATTCTGGTCATCTTAACCATGGTGGGGACAGCCTTCTTCATGTACAATGCTTTTGGCAAGCCCTTTGAAACGCTGCATGGCCCACTAGGGCTATATCTCGTGAGTTTTATTTCAGGCAAGTATAAAATTCTACCTTCAAAGTCTAAGTGCTTTTTAAATGTGTCAAAAGACGCTCTACCTAAATGTAGTTATGCCATGTGTACAGTAATATTCCTGTAGTATTATATATGACAGCAAATAATGGAGAAATACTATAATTATCTAACAATATGGAATTCACTGTATACACTGCAATAGTCTATATGAATGAATACAATCTTTACATTGTAATTTTGAAGGTGTAAAAAAGGGCTAACTCTTGTATCAAATTGTTAAATGAAAACAGCAGTAATATTTTACAAATATTATGAACCTGTTGGGCTATAAATACAGAAATATACATATAAAAATTGATGGAATTTCTTATATATAGCCATATACTCTTTCACGCACACACACACTAATATAAAAGCTATATTTATATATGAGTGATGAATGGGGATACTTTGCTAGTTGTGGTTATCTCTGAGGATTGGAGCTATGGATGGTCTTAATTTTGCTCATGGTTATTAATATTTTTTTCCTAAAAGTATAGGTTTGTTGAGACAAGGTTTCTCTATGTAACAGTCCTGGCTGTCCTGGAACTTGCTTTATAGACCAAGCTGGCCTCAAACTCTCTGAGATCCACCTGCCTCTGCCTCCCATGTGCTGGTATTAAAGGCTTAAGCCATCACGGCCCACCCCAGTTATCAATATTTCTAAGTGTTCACTAGTGTGCATTTATTTATTCATAATGAAAGAAATGAGAAATTTTCATCATAAAATGATAAAGGCACCCACAGATGAATGACCACATTCAGGACTGTCACCGCTTCATGTTGACTAATGCTGGTTACATCTGGGAAAGGATACAAAGGATACACTCTCCACCTAATGTTTTGATAAACGCATTCCACTTCAAAACTGGGCTGATGAAAAAGGTGTAAATTCTAGTCAGTGCCAGAGGCGCCTCTAATACGTTTTTTGAAAGAAGAAAAGAAAGATGAGAAAATGAAATCTATTTACATAATTCATGTGTGACTATCATTCAATAGGAAGCCTCTGATTTTACAGCATTCCAAACTTACAGATCAGTTCAACATTCTATTATGTTCTACTGATGATTTCCGGGAGACTACAGTTCATACCAGCCAAAAATCTAATGGAAGTCCCTGCTGGACAATTTCGTTCTCCTTTGAAGCTGCCCTTGGCAGCTAGCTCTGAAGCAGCCAGCACAGACTCGTTCCTCTTGACACTGCTCCCTTCTCCCACACCATCCAGCTCCAGCACCAACTTGTCCAGGTGCCTGCCCAGAAAACGGAGCCCTGTAGTCAACAAGGGCTGATGGGTTTCAGAAGGCAATGTACTTGCTACTCCCTGCTCGCACCTTGCTAACCAAAATATTCACCCAACTAAAAGAGATCGCTTCCCAGTAGGGATCCTGCTAACATTTCCTCCACATCTTTTATAGATGTACAACACAATTTTATCACAGGAATGAGCACTCTATGAGGCAGTCCAAGGAGTGCCCACCTATCTCTGGCAAGAGCAGCTAACTCGAAGCTTACTGTATATTGTTTTTAAAAAAAAAAATCAACCCTCACATGCATAGGTGAGAGAAATAAGGACCCTACTGGGACAAAATTAGCAATGCAGACCACAGAGGCAGGAGGACCTGCGCCAGAGAGCAAAAGGCAGAAGTATGGCAAAGGACTGGTTTTGAACTGAGATGGAAAAGATACAGTCTCAAGGTGGGATATGCAAGCCAAGATAGCAACCCAATCTCACAGGAAGGACAAACATTTGGGGATTGTGTCACTCACTAAACATCCCAAACTGAACTGGTAGACAGTCAGTTGAGTCTGTAAGTATCTAGGTAGTAGACAAACGAGGCATGATTTCAACAGAGATTTGATTTTTTTTTTAAAGATTTATTTGTTTTCAGTGCTCTATCTGCATATATACCTGCACACCAGAAGAGGGCATCAGCTCTCACTCACTACAGATGTTTGTGAGCCACCATGTGGTTGCTAGGAATTGAACTCAGGACCTCTGGAAGAGCAGTCAGTGCTCTTAACCTCTAAGCCCTCAACAGAGATCTAAAGCAGGGCTGCAGACCAGGTGAGCAGCATCCATGTCACCTGGGAACCTGGCAGCACAATGAATTCTGAGAACACTGCCCCAGAGTGACGAAATGGAGATGTTGGGGGTGGACACACAGATGTGCTTCAGCTGGTCCTGCAGGTGAAGCCCTTCTGTGCAACCTCAAGGTGCCCTTAGAGCAGTGGTTCTCAACCTTCCTAGTACTTTGGCCCCTTAATACAGTTCCTCATGTTGTGATGACCCCCAAACATAAAATTATTTTTGTTGCTACTTCATAACTATAAATTTCTACTATTATGGATCATAGTGTAAATATCTGTTTTCTGATGGTCTTAGGCAACCCCTATGAAAGGGTTGTTCAACCCCCAAAGGGGTCTTGAGCCACAGATTAAGAACCACTGTGCTAGAGGGAATTGCCTAAAAAGGGGTTGGAGAACTGAAAAACCACGGTGGTGGCCTGAGGTAGCTCAGAGGGTAATTTCTGGAAGTACCTACCTACCATTCCTGGGGTTGGGGGAAGAACCTGAAGACTTCTTTAACTGACCTGAAATAGAGGGGCCCTGAGGGCACTTGGTCTCAGACCTCAAAGAGCTGCCACTGCCCCTCTTCAGAACACTAGCAGAGGATTCTGGAAGTGTGGAATGATGCCAAAAGTCCCAACTGCTACCAATGGGAAAGTACTGATCCCATGGCCTTGCTGCCAGGAGTTCAGGCCATCTGGAAAGAGCAGGCCTTCCCTAGTCATTCTGAAAACAAAGTAACTAACCAGCTGAGGAGACAAAACAAATGTGGTGATTTTGACCCAGCCTCATAAAGTAAAGGACAGAAAAGCTGGTTGTGGAGAGATACTTGCGCTTCTACTGACCCGGTACCTACTGCACCGTCTCTGGGTGAAATTCAGAAGAGAAGCCCATGTGGAGACAAACTGACAGTTCTGATGGACGGCCTAACTAGCAGTGTCTGAAAAGCAAGACGTCTCCAAGAATGTTGGGTTCGATCCATGTCCCAGATCTGACCTTGGCCTCCAGCCAAGTGTGATGCAAGGAGAACCTGGGCACACAATTACACACCGGAACAATCAGTCCTGAGCTCACGCTGTATCTTAATTCATATTGCACCTGGAAGTGCAGGTATTTGATAAAGCGTGGTGAATCAATGACAGGGGGTAGGATGGGGGCAGAGGGAGAAGGGCAGGAGCCATGTGCACAGCAGTCTCTTGCAAAGGCCCAGAGTTCACCGAGAAATCAGCTTCGGAAACCCCAGTCCTCATTTTAATCAGCAAAATTTGTCGGTCATTAAAAAGAAGCTGTACAAAATGAGGATCAGAAGGACAGACAGGTGGCAGCCTTTAGGGGTAAACAGGGCTCTCGAAGCATAAACTACCTCATTCTCTTTAAGTCCATACAGGGAACCCAGAAGTCCATAGTTTGGGAAATGTTTAATTCTGTTTGTAGCTTTCATTCAGACCCCAGTTCTAAATCCTGATTGTGTCAAGATAAACTTTTAGAGGGTTTTTTTTTTTTTAATCACAAACTCTTTAAATAGGCGTAGTAAACACGAATATTCACAGAACAGCGACTTTGTTAGGGTCTTTAATTTTAAGTGAGTCACGTTCCATTAGGAGACACCCAGGGGCTTCTCCCTTCACTGGGTTCCTTCCCATTTCCCTCACCCTTGTGCCCTGCTCAGGAATCTGTCCTCATTGGTGCTGTCCACGCTCCCTGAACCTTCTCTTTTCCTTCCTCTCATCCCCATGCACCTCCAGCTTTTCTCTGTCCTCCACGGTTCTTCATGCTGAAGTCATATGAGGCCATCTTTGAGATGCCTACTTCCGGTCTAGGTGGGGACTCATACCTTGTGTCTTGAGCGATGAGGAAAGAGGAGAGGGAGAGAGAGAGAGAGAGAGAGAGAGAGAGAGAGAGAGAGAATGTTGTCTTCCAATTCTCTATTAGGAGCTTGTCAGTTCTTCAGAACAAAGGAGGCAGAAAAGGAAAAACCATGCCCGTGGCTGCCGCCCACTGCAGCTCGCTGATGCTTACAGCCCAAGATCCTACACACCTCTCTCCTCTCCTTAGAGATTCCAGTATCATCTGTATGCCTCGACTGTCTCAGGATACCATTCCTGGCCACTGTCGTTCTTGCAAATCAGTTCATTTGCTTTCTTCCCTAGTCTCTTACAAGCTGGTTTTAAGAAACCTTTTCCCCAGTGTAAGATTTAGGTAATACCTTAATGGGCCCCCATAGTCCATCTAGGGCATAAGAATCCCCCGAAGAGCTTTCTAAAATTGCTGAAGCCAGCTCCCTACCATGTCAATTAAGCTGGAGGCTACGGGGTGGGGGCTTGGGCATTGCTTTGGATTTGGGCTTAACTTTTTCAAAGGAAGCTATCAGAATTGGCAGCCCGCGTTGAGGCTCAGTGCCACAGGTGCCTTCACCGAGTTTCTTTGGCCGACAAAATGCTTGTTACATGCCAGTCCTTGTAAAGGGGGTGCTGGTGACTCCACAGTGAGGCCAGCGCAGAGTCTTGCCTTTGGGGAGCCTGCAGCTTACTGGGAGAGTCAAGCAAAAGCAAATGCAAAATCAAGCCAGGTGGTGGCGGTGCATGCCTTTAGTCCCAGCACTGGGGAGGTAGAGGTAGGCAGATCTGTGGGTTCGAGACCAGCCTGGTCTACAGTATGAGTTCCAGAACAGCTAGGGCTGTCATAGAGAGGAGAGCCTATCTCAGGGTGGGGTGGGGAAGAGTGTATATGAACAATTGAATAACCGCTTGTTGCCCTTCTTCTAAGGGTGGTAAACAGGTTACGCAGACAATGCAAGCAGGGACCTGGCTTTGAGCTTCTGGAAGCACCCAAATCTGGGCTTGCTGCAGTGGTATTGATGGCACATGACTTGAGTTCCACCAAGCAAGACAAACAGATACAATTTGTGCCTTTC